TATATTTGTATCTTATAAGTCTGACAATTACTGACTCCTGAGCAGAAGTAAAAATTTACACCAAAGCATCTCCCAGCACTTCCATTGATATTTGATTTAATTGGTGTTTGCAGTTTATTTTTGTAATCCCTTACAGAAAGTTAACTTGAAAAGTTCTACAAAAATTGGGATTATCCAACTACTGTATTTTCCGCTGTAAATGTTGCACCGACCTATAAGGCGCATCAGTCCAAATGAGTGGAAAAATCCATAAATACGTCGCTTTGCTGTATACGTCATATTCTGTGTCACCGCTGACAACCTGGAAATGTGGGCTGGTGTTGTGCCAAAAATGGTTTGGCTGCCGCCACGGTGGCGTGCACGGGAGGACTTTAACAAGAATTTAACAAGAATTTAACAAGATTAACGTTTAAAAACAATTATTTGTTTGCTCAACTTTATAGCAAAGGTGTGTCTAGGTTGAACTTTTACTTAATAAATGCACTTCAGTGGTCAAATCAGCTGCATTTCGCCAGGGCAGCGCAGCGAAATGAAGCCGATTTGACGGTTACTCAAGGCAGACGATGGTGGTAGGCTACGGCAAGCCGATTGTGTCATTAATAGCCACTTTTACCTATTACATGACACTACAGCATGCCACACTACTCGAGTGCCATCTAGTGGCTGAAAATGGTAGTGTTCAATATTTTCAGTCAGAATTAATGAAAACAGTCATATCACAGCCATAAATTGGTTTATAAATATGGGAAAATATGGGAAAAATCCATGAATACGTCGCTTCTGCGTATAAGTTGCAGGGCATGCAAATTACGCAAAAAACTGCGACTTTTAGGGCGAACGAAAAATGTTGTATACAATTTTTTTCTTTTTTCAGCTGCTCACTTCTTCAGGGGTCACCACAGCGAACTAACTTGCATGAAGAGTTGGCAGTTGTTTTTAACGCCGGCTGCCCTTCCTTTTGCAACCACAGACCACCGAGCTACCACAGCCCTCTGTGTGGAGCAGAGAGCTGCCATCTAGGGTGGCCAGAGGAGCAGATGGTGGGGGTTAAGAGCCTTGCTCAAAGGCCCAATAGCGGGGCAAAGGAGGGTGGAGGCAGATGTGGGTGTTTCACCTTTCCCACCCACATTTTGATGTTGACGGTACTGGGAGTTGAACCTGCAACTTTCTGATCACAGGCCCACCTCTCTCTAACCTCTGCACCACCACTCCCACCATTGTTCAACTTATTGCTAACTTATTGTCCAATATTTGTGCTAAAAGTAAACAGATCATGTGGAAGCAACAAAGCTCAACTGAAATCTCAATTTATTGCTGCTTTTGTTTTTATATCTTTCCTGTTTTTTTGTTTTGTTTTCGTGTGTGTGTTACTAAAAAACAAAGTTAGTCCAATAAATCTCATATTTTAGAACTTTACCAGAGCTGCCTTATAAAGTTTCATCAGGACAAAACAGCGTATAACATTAAGACACTAAATGTTTACAACTCTGGCTCTACTTGACTTTAATCAACAAAAATGAACCTAAAAACCATAAATTTAATACAAATACATGAAGCAGCATTCACTGCTCTGAAGTGGATTGTTTCCTGGGCCTCACTGTTGGTTTCCTGTTGCTCTCCAAACTCCTCTGATGTTTTGATCTCCTGTTTAAAGAAAGAGATTTACCTCAACATCCAGTTTTATTGGGTTTGTGGTCAAAAGAATACTGTAGTCCTAAATGACACTTAGGTTTGCAAACAAATTACTTCCCTGCAGTTTTAACTAAACTACAGTTAAGCTTGTGCAAAACTGGAACCTAAAAGTCCAAACTAGTTAAAACAAGTCCACCGATCAGGTAGTTTTCATGTGTTTGCTCTTATTTCATCTTCAGGATGAGAAATAAAGAAGTTAGGGCTGATGGAAGGCCTTTAATAAGAATAACCTCATGCTTTAATTCTTGTTCTCCTGTTTCAGTGTAGTTTATAAGAATATAGCAACAACAACAAAAAAAGTTAGACAGCTGATGAGATGACACACTCTCAGCCCTTAAATTCTGAGAATAATTTACAAGCTTTTTTTCTGGAGACTCAATAAACAGCCCCCCCTAAACAGATGTAAAATCTTCCAGATACCAACACACACATGCACACACACATACAATTGACCCCACAGCTCATTATGTCTGCTTTTGCTCCTTTGAATTGTGTTTGGGAAGTTGGGGGGGGGGGGGGGGGGGGGGGGGCAGGGTGGAGTTTGGTGACCCTGAAGAGTCTGACCTGAGGGGGCGTTTGAAGAGTTAAAAAAAAAAAAGTTAAAAAGGAGGTGGGTGGGGGTGTCGGGGGACTGGGCAGAGAAATGGGGGAGGAGGGCATCAGCAGACAGAGAGGAAGTCTTCTTGGTGCCCTGTTGGTTGGTTTCTCTTTTCTCCTGTGGGAACATGTTACCATGACGATAATTATAAAAACAGCCTCAGCAGTCTGTGGCTCACACTAATAAGTAAAGAAATATAGTTTCCAGCTCAATTACATTTAATTTATTTTATTTAAAGATGTAGAGGGCCCTGTGATGGACTGGAGACCTGTCCAGGGTGTCCCCTGCCTCTCCCACAGTGACGGCTGGACGTGGGGACCAGTGACCCCCGCAACCTGAACAGGAAGAATCTGTAAAAAAATTGAATGGATGGATGGTTGGATGGATGGATGGATGGAGCAGCAGAGGAAAGATTAACTCCTTCTCCCGCATCCTTGTGTTACTTAACCTCATGAGCTTTGGTTTCCCTCCAAAAACTCAGTTCCTGTTATAAAACGTCTCCCCTGCCACTTTTAAATGAGCCACTCAGCAGCTGTCTCCCCCCATCCTCAGCCTTCTTCCATCAATCTATAAAAGTAGATGTGGATGTTTTGGGAAGTGGGAGCATTGCAGAAAGCTCTTTAGCCCCACTGGGTGCAAAGAATTCTTGTACTAGCACTGCAAGTTAAAACAAATGGGAAGATGCAAAATTATATGGCTACAAATAACATTTCTTATTTATAGAAGAAAAGAGAATTATGACTACGTGCAAATAAGGGTGTTTCATTTAGCCTATACTGATTAATAAACATGTAATAATCTAGTTTCTATGCACAGAACACCTATAGTGCATGATCTTTGTTTACCTGACTCAAGATGACCACCATATAGTCAACTAATATTAGAAAACAAAATGCAAATTTTGATTGTGCGCAATCTTCGAACAAAGTTTTGCCATAACTATTTGGAGTCAGTGAGCAAAATATTTAATAAACCACTGGGCTACTTATAACAAAACCTTCAGGAAATAATCGTTGAATTTACCACAACATGTAATTAATTTTTGAAGTAAACCAATATGGCTGCCACAATTAAGTGACTTTAGAAAACACAAATGGCTTCAATTCAGTCATTTACAGATGCACATTGCTAATACTTGGTGTGGTAGTAGCTGAGCGGATCCCCAACTTTGAGACCTAACAGATTGTGCATGATCCTTGTTTAAAATTTTGTTGTTACCTATTTGGAGTTAATTCTGTCTGTTGGCTAAGAAATTGAACAACTCACTACAGTGATTTTATTGAAACTCTCAGGAAATAATCATTTGATGCACATCTACAACTAATAAACCAGATTCAACATGGCTGCCACAGCCAACTCACCAAACAAAACACAAATATGGCTATAATTCAGTCAATTTTATAAATATGCTTACATTTAGTGTGGTAGCAGGTGACATTTTTATTTTTATTCTTAAGACCAACAATTGACAAACAAACCAAGGCAAATTGTACCGGTAATACAAAGTAGCAATTAAGCTTCACAGGTTGAGTTGTATACATTCAAAATATATAAAATAATACAAAAAATTTACATAACAAGGAACAAGTGTGGAGGTTTACATCTAATCAAAGTTATTAATCAAAGTATAAAGCTGTTGAGCAGATTTACTTTTAACCAAATTAAGAGACTCACAAAAACATTTCAGGTAGTTTTCCCAATGACATAAATTTGGATTCACCTTTGAAAAAAATCTGCATTTATGAACAAAAAAACTTTAGGTTATTAACTGGCAGTTCAATTCCCTGTGCCTGAAGCCAACTCCACATACTCCAAAAGTTTTGAGTGACACTACAGAGGAAGAAAAAATTATCTATATCATCACAAAGTGTGAATCCACCAGTATCAAACTTAAAACTTGTTCTGATAAAAGCATTAGTTGGGTAGATGTTGTTTAGAATTTTAAAATGGACTTCCATAACTTTTTAGGGGAGGAGGAAAAGAGATATATGTTGTTCTGATTTTAGAATTATATCCATTATTCTAAAATCTTAATACATTGCCGTTTGACCTGACTAAGGTACAGTTCCTTCTGTAAAACTCTCCTCATGAGCTTGTTTGTCTTTTTTAAATTAATTAATTAATTAAATCTCTAAAGTCTATGTATTCTTCTTAGACCTGGGGAAGTTTCAGAATGTTTAACAATGTTCAGGTCTCTCTTATAAATGAGTCCCGGTGACTCAATGGTACTAACCTGTATAAAAAAAAGGTTGAATGAATGAACAATGCAGGTGAAAGTCATTGATAAAACGTGCCGAACGTGACTTCTCGCGATAATGCACGAGATCTAGCAGCTTTAATGGTTCAACTAAAAACATCTGCAAGTCCATCATTTGTTAATTTAAGACAAAGTTTAAAACTCTGACATGCAAGGCGTTGTAAAACATGCGATTTTAAAATAAAATAAAATAAAAGCTAGGCTTATTTTGTCTATTTATTAGCACACTAGGAACCATTTACACGGACGGAGGGGAGTATTATTGATGCAGGACGGTTACCATAGAAACCAAAAACCGCAGTTAGCTTAACTGTGTTGCTCCCGTTATTTTAATTTTTTTCCTTAAATCAGCTTCATTCTTCAAACACTTGTTCTTGTGTCGTATTTTTATTTATATATATATTTTTTTTACAAACTTTTTTCTGTGCAGGTGTTCAAATAGAGAGTGATAATATGGACTCGGAGTATTTAAAGCAACATTTAGGGGAATGTCTCGCTGAGGGATTAGCTGAAGTGGCTAAACAGCGACCGGAGAGGCCCATCCTGTATTTGGCTCACTGGCTCCACAAATACAACACAAAAGTTAAAATCGAGAAACGGGTAAGCTGCAGTTTCAGTGTGGGGACAGCAGGGGGCAGCATCATTTAGTTTCTTTAAAGGTTTGGGTGAAAAGGTTTGTAAATAGCACTTAAATAAGTATTATGGCTACCAGTCTTTTACATTTCTATTTAAATATAGCAAAAATTAAAAGAGGACAAAGAAGCTGTATGAAATACAAAGCATTTTTTTCTTTTCTGGAACGATTAGATTAATGTGATCTAACGTACCATTCTCTGTTTAGGACAAGGTTGATGAAGAAGAAGCTGTCAAACCTGAGGACTCCACCAAACCAGAGGCAGCAGCCTCTGATCCACAGAGCGACGATCTCAACCCAGAGCAGACGTTTGCTAATCAAGAAGAAGAAGAAAACATGACAGAAACCAAACCCGAGACTGAACAACCATCTAGTCCCACTCTTCAGGATCAGGAGCAGGAGCAGGTGGCTCTACTGTTTTATTCCTGTTTAGAATGCAGACCAGTTCCTATTTATCTCAGTCATTTGAGGACACATACATTAAAAGAGAACAAAGTAGCTGTATGAAATATAAAACATTCAGCTCAGTTAAATTTGTTTAATAACGGGTACAAAAATCCATAATTAACAGTGCAACCACATTTTTGTGCTAATTATATATCTTTTTAAATAACTGTTGTGCTAATTTCTAAAAGTAGAACTACTGACGGAAAAGTCTAAAATCAAGCACACACAGGTCTAACTTTAAAGCAATAATAATGAATAAATGAGAGCAGGAGGGGAAAAAAAACAAGAATGAACAAGAGATGGAAAGTAGAGTTTTGTATTATTTACAAATATTGTGTTTTGAAAAAGAATATAAATCATTGGTTTTGATTTTTCTAGTTTTATTCTATCTTTAATAAAGAGGATAAGAAAACAATTTTTGAAGGTTATTTATATTAATGTTAAAGATATTGTAGATAAGTTTTGTGTTACTTTTCTGGAATGATAAGATTAAAGTGATCTAATGTGCCTTTCTCTGTTTATGACAAGGATGATGAAGAAGAAGCTGATAAACCTGAGGACTCCACCAAACCAGAGGCAGCAGCCTCTGCTCCACAGAGCGACGATCTCAACCCAGAGCAGACGTTTGCTAATCAAG